TATTAGCTATTTCAGAGTTATTAGGAAATGTTTTTCAGGAAAATAATTTTACAGTTTAAAGAATATAGTAAAATTGATAATGCTAAGGGCCATTCTCCATTGGTAACCAAAACATGGCAGCCTACGTACTCTCTGTTGCTTGGTTTACAAGGACAAGGCTATGAACTTTGATGGGAAATTAATGTACTCTGTCATGGGCATTGCACTAGCTGCAGCAGTATGCATTCTTTGGGGGACATATAGCACTGTATTAAAGCCATGCGCAGAAAATATACTTGCCAGTCTGCACAAGGCATTTTACAAGGACAAGAGGTGGATATCACCATAGATAGCACCTAACACACCTGGTATCTGACAGTACTGGACAAGGAACTGCAGAGTAACATATTGTAAACTATAACTGTGGATCATATTTGTTTGTGAAATTGAAGAAAAGGTGCCATGTATTGTATGTGTATTATTTATGATATTGAATGACTAAATCTTAAGTTGAACATAATATGGAGTTGGCCAGTTGAAAGTCCAGTTATGAGTGCAGCAGACTTATTTTTTTCTTGCCTGCATTTAATTTTTAGCATAATTACGATCCAAACACTTTGCATAATAGTATCCACATTTTTCCATCATGCAGCAAAATATATGTATCTTTACCACTATTTTTTTCACATTTCTGTTGCTAGTAGCTGCTGTATTTTTGTTGCTCCTATTGGATGGCCCTTAGGGTGAAAAGGAAGTAGCTCAAGAGGAGAATATTGTGGATATACACTTTTTGAGATGTTAGTATATAATGATTGAAGTTCTAGGTAGTCACCAGCCCAAAGTAAAATCCTCAAAAATTCAGCAAAACCTTAGGCAGACAATTACATAAATATTCAGTTGTATTTGATAGGAAATTATGTTTCTTAATTAAAATCTTAGGAATTATTGAATTGCTTATCTGTTAATGATTAGGAAACATATGCTTATCACACTTATGAGATTAGTACACTGCAGGATACTTGGCTAGTTATATATTGTTTTTAAAGAATCAAGTTTACAAATTTTCTACTTGAAAAGCATTCAGTGTTCTATGTAGTACCTTACTTAAAGGTCTGATTAGAAGCTGTGTTTTTTTGTTTTTTGTTTTTTTAACTATATTTTATTCTGCAGGTAGAGTACATATATTTTATGCTTAAAATGAATGTGCTCCAATGTAGCTTTTATTTCAGGTAAAGCTGGCTTTTAGTGAAATAATGGAAAATGTATGGTCATTGATAGGCTGATTGCTCATTAGTACCTTTCTCTAATTTATTTATATTTTATTCAAGAATTAAAGTAATCATTTTGTAGTAAGGGCTTAATGAGCTACTAACTCTTTGTGAAAATGCATAGTAAATAGTCAATTGATAGGATGATAATATTATTACTGAAAGTCTGTGATTATATCTGGCATTGGTAGGCCGGAGTCTCTCAACACCACCCTCAACACAACCATTGACTCTGCCATGATCGAGTCTCAGATCATCCCGACTCAGGTAGCAAATCAGTTATCTGCCCAAGTGAACCAGACTCAGGTGCAGCAGCCTGTAGGTCAGAGTGCCAAGGGTCAGGTCCCTGCAGACCAAGATTCAGTACCTGAGAAGGCTGCAGAGATTCTCAGTGGGTGGGAAGGGTATGTCCTGCAGATGTTGTGTGACTCCAGGAAAGAGCTCAAAGTAGTGAAAAAAGTATAAGAATGCACATTGTTTTCTTTAGCTGATGGTTAGCTTCAGCAATTGATTTTGCAGTTGACTAAAAGGAACTAATTCTTGCAACATTTGTTTTTTTGATGCCCTTTTCTAGTTGTCAACTGATTCTCCTTCATTCATGATGAAAGTGAATAATCCAAATTCATTTTTTTTCCAGAAGTGATTGAATAGGTATATTTTACTTAGGAGAAGTATTTCAAGTGTAGGCTTTTACTGCTTGATATAACTTTTAACCCCTTCACCATGATATAGGAGGATTGGAATGGCAGAAGTGAGTTGAAAATATACTAATTTATGTGCAGCAAGAATAGAATTTAAAAAGATTGTAAATTTAGGTATATAATTAATAAGTCTTTGATGAATCGTAGATCATAGATATTTACTATTAGAAAGAAAAGACTGATATTAATGAGCTTTCCTGGAGGAAACATACACTTTGATAGAGTGACATTTATGTGTGCGTGTGGTTTGGACCATCCCCTCATACCCTGGCCGAGTTCAGAGTTATGTCTTTTAACTCTGATCAAGAGTTTAATTTTAGGAATTTACCACACCCTGATTACAGACTTTGCTAATATCCATACTTATTTGGCTGAATTTGCAAGTAGTTTACAAAAGCTTGAAGGGATCTCATCTTTGATGCTTTTGTTGATTTACTCTTTCAATTTTCTGTTTATGATTTACAGACAGATTTTTTTGCAATTGAATACTGCTTGTGAAATCAGCTTTCATTTTGCTAACCAAAGTCTCATGAGTTATTTGGTGATATGAAC